TCAATGTGTGCTCGAGTTACTGCACTTCATAGTGGCAAGGAGATGCATGCCCAGATTTTGAAGTCTAGGAAGAAAGGTGATCTGCCCTTACTCAACTCACTAATGGACATGTATGCCAAATGTGGAGCCCTTGATTACTGTAAGAAAGTGTTTAACAGAATGCAGAGTAGGGATTTGACTACATGGAATACAATGCTCACAGGTTATGCAATAAATGGATATATTGAAGAAGCCATGGCCTTATTTGATGAAATGATAAGCTATGGCATGTGGCCAGATGGTATTACCTTCATTGCCTTGCTTTCAGGTTGTAGCTATTCAGGACTTGCTGATAAAGGGCAAGAATTGTTCAATAAGATGGAGGATTATGGGGTGAAACCATCTTCAGAGCACTATGCTTGTCTTGTAGACGTATTAGGCAGGGCAGGGAGAATTGAAGAAGCATTAGCTTTGGTGCAAAACATGCCAATGAATCCAAGTGGAAGCATATGGGGATCCTTACTTAACTCATGCCGTCTTCACGGTAATGTTCCTCTTGCAGAGGTTGTTGCCGGGAAACTGTTCGAAATCGAACCTCACAATCCTGGCAATTATGTGATGCTCTCAAACATCTATGCAAAAGCAGAAATGTGGCATGGTGTGAAGAGAGTTAGGGAGATGATGGCCGTGAGAGGAATCAAGAAAGAGGCTGGATGTAGCTGGACACATATAAAGCAAAGAATTCATACCTTCATCGCCGGGGGGAGCTCGGAATTTCGTTCGTCAGCTGAATATTCAGAAACCTGGAGTGAGTTGTCTGAGGCTATCAAAGAAGCAGGGTATGTCCCTGACACTGATGATGTTCTTCATGATGTGAATGAAGAGATGAAGGTGACATGGGCTTGTGGGCATAGCGAACGCATAGCAGCGATATTCGCACTTATTCATACTGCTGATGGAATGCCAATCAGGATTACAAAGAATCTTAGGGTTTGTGGGGATTGTCATTCATGGATGAAAGCTGTTTCAAGAGTTACTGCGAGGATGATTGTATTGAGAGATACTAACAGGTTCCATCATTTCGCAAACGGTTCTTGTTCTTGCAAGGACTTTTGGTGAATCAAAGTCCCTACAATCATGATGCAAGATTATCAACGACTAAATCACTTTTTATAATAATGCAAAATCATTGAGCATGGACCACTTTTGTCAAATATGTGTGTGTGTGTGTGTGTCTCTTCAGCTTAGTCAGAAAGATTAGTTATGGAGGTGCCCTTGACTGTAACTGATTGCAGATACAATTGGTTTCAAGGTAATAAATGAGGTAGACTTTGAGAGGAAGATTTTCTTCGTTAGGCATTTAACTTTCTCTTGCTTAGACTTTAGAATGAAAATTAAAAGTGACATGAAGATGATATAATTGGTATTAAATTATGAAAATTTTAACAAAGTTCACGACATTATAAATCCAGAAAAGCAAGATCTTCCCAAGCCTCTGGAATGGTATCTTTCATACTGGCCAATTCGTTAGATAGTATAGAACATTGAATATCAATATTCTTAAAAAAAAAAAATACTTGGAGATATTTTGCCATTGAATAATCCAGGGGGAGGGAGGGAACGCAAGCCAAGCTTTTACTACTTAATTAAACGTTGTCGTTTGAGCACAAAAGCAAATCCTTTTTGGTTTATCACGGGAGAACGAACACTAACTGTCTGTTTGGATATGGTTTCAAAACCGAAGTGTACCAAAACTATGGTTTTACTAAAAATTACCCAAACACCTCATTTTTCACACAATTGTTTTGACCAGAACCACATTTTGCCTCAAGCTCGAAAGAGTATAGCTTCCAAAGATCGATTATATCTGTTGGGGCAATTATTGCCTGCTGGAATTTTTAATCTGCCAAATAATACCCCAAATACCTCCATCACTTCTCTTTATCCTCGCAAAAAAGTGAAACCTCTCTAACGCGACCTGTCTCTTCTTTGCTGCAACCTCATCTCCTGCTTCGATCTATGACCTCCATCCTCCATCTCTGCTCTGCAACTGTTGTTCGAGTTCATCGGTGCATCTCCTCCGTCTCTTTCCTTGAAGGTCGTTCTTTGCTATTTTCTCCGTCTAAGCCCATCTGATGCAACATCCTCTCCTCCTACTGTGTCTTCCGTGCGTTTTCTTTCAGCCTTTTCCAGATTGATTCGGTGTTCTTTTTGGGTGCTATCTAGTAATTTGGTGTGACATCCACGGCTCTAGGATTAATATTAATATAAATTATATTAAAAGATAACATAATTTAAATTTTTATTATTAATCAATTTTTTTCGTAATCAATTTTATCCAACTGAAATTCAAACAGACTATGTGTGTGTTTAGATTAAAAAATTTACAATTGAAGTTAGGATTCAACTGAGGTTAGCAAATTGAGATTAAAAGAAAAGTCAGTTAATGTAACGCAATTTGTATTTATATACCTTTTTTTTTTTCAAAAGTTAGTTAGATAAATTAAAATTTGTTTGGTTGATTTGATTTAAAAGCTAGTTGATATGTTTAATGGTAAAAATAAGTATGAATTTTTTTATTTTAAATATTAAATTTTAAATAAGCATATTTATATTTTTTGACTAACTAATAAGTAAAAAATATTAAACTTAAAATCACAACTAATAAGTAAAATATCTTAAATATTCAATCATGAAAACCTAAAATAAATTAATATTCAATTGATATGATTTACAAATTGATATTTAATTATATCACTAATACGCTGCATTTGTCTTGACGATTTGGGTAGATTTGACAAGGATGCCTCACCAATATTGGTATCTTCCTCATGGACATCTATACTTTTATCTTCAGATTGCATGAATTGCTCATCAGTAATTAAATTTCTCCTAATAAAGTTACGTATTTCCATTGTTACACAAACAATTTGAACTTATATTTTATATCTAAATTTAGGCATTTTTTATATAATTGCAAACCGATTCTTCCACACTCCAAAAGTTTTTTTTATAGTGCATTTTAAATTTGAATGATAATACTTCCACACTCCAAAAATAAATGTAATGGCTAGGAAATTTAGGAATTTTAAAAAATGTGATAAATAATTTTTTTAGCAAAAAAAATTAAAATAAAATGATCAATTATTCTTGTTGGTATTTTGACTTAAATGTTAGTGAAATTCATAATATATTATATATGGACATGCAATGATTTAGAAAATAATTATGATATTAAAATTATTAATAACATGTTTTGATGATATTTTTATAACTTTATAATTTTAAAATAGATGCAACAAGAAGTTATTGGCTTGATGGAGTCTGTACTTGTCGCTTACATATTGTTGAGTCTCCGTAGTGGTAAGGGAGAAATTTTATTATGCTCTAAACACTACAAAATTACCAAAATACTCTTTTTAGAAAAAAATCAGACTTTCTCCCCTATTTCCCATTTCATTCGTGTTCTGCATATAAAAAAAACAGGGAGTAGGAGACAGCTTCCAAAAAACCCTTCTCAATTCTTCTCTTCCATTCCCAATCGGAGTGATTTTCCAACCATTCTTCCTCCTCCATCATCCTCTATCTCCTTTGTTCTTCTTGTTCGTTTTGTCGACGAGCGCGTGCGCAGAGGAGTTCAGTTTGTAAGTTCATGGATTCTTCTTCTTTCTCCGTCATATTCTATAGCTGATTCCTCCTAGCTTTTTTTAAAACTAATCGACGCTACTGTGTGTGTAGGTGTGTGCACAAAGCTTCCATTATTCTTCGTTCGCATCGCAAATCATCCACCATAGCTGGTCTTTGTCTGGCTGGTATTTTTTTTTCCTGTTCTCTCATCCTAGATATGCTAAAGGCAGAGCTCGAGTAGATAAAAGATAAGAGAGAGAAAGCATAAAAATTTAAAACGCATTTAATGCTTCCAACAAGCAGCAACGCTAACGTTGAAAACCAAAAGCCAGGTTAGTGGGCTTCTTGAATAACGCTCGTTTGCATGCTAACTGAGGTTGAAAATTTATGATAATCCAAACAAGATTTTTTTAACATTTTACACTCTAACCTCAGTTTAACCCACTCTAACTAAGGTTAGAGTGCAATCCAAACATGCTCTATAAATGCTCTACGATTTGACTATAAAGATTGTGTATAAACGTTAGACTTTCATCTACTAATAATTGCACTAAATTTTAAGACCGATAAACAGTTTTCTTTGAGCATGTAACTGACTCTGTCCAATTAAAAAAGCTAAAAACGAGCGAAGTTATTGGATACCAAGTTGCTAGGCTGTTATGGGGATGTCTAAATCAGATCAACATTCTCAAAAAGATTGATGTCCATTAGTATTATGCCTGAACCTCAACACCTCCTAAATCAACTGTTTGCATGAAGCTCAGATGGTACATTTTGCTCACGTTTATATATATTTGATCCCCATATCTAACAGCCACATGAATAAGGTTATCATTTTCCATTCTCACTTTCTATCATTATCACCTGTTTATGGATCCATGACTTTATTTTACCCCATTTTAGTCTATATCAGCTTATTTCATTCCAGTTCTTTCCAAGAACGAAATAGGCCCTAAAAATTTGTCCCAACTCCCAACGATATTTTAACAACAATAACATTCTCATTTAAGCTAAAATATACTTTTAGTCCTTTAACTTTACTCAAAATTTTATTTTAGTCTCTTAATTTTAAAAAGTATATTTTTAATTATTGAACCCTAACACCGTCAGTTTTATCACACAAAAAATTCTACATTGAATTTTTAAATATCGACAAAACATTTTCAAATGTTAATTTGTTAAGTTTAATTTTTTTAAAAAATAACAACAATAGGCACAAAAAGTAATTATTTAAAACTAACGGTATTAGAGTTAAAGAACCAAAAATACATTTTATAAAATCAAGAGACTAAAATAAAATCAAATATAAAATTAAAGGATCAAAAGTATAGTTTAACCTCTCATTTATAACTAATGATTTCAGCATCCAACATTCAAAATCAAATCTTCTAGACTAGTGAAACTCTAATTCAATAATGTAAAGCAACCAAACTTTATGGAGGAGCCAGTCATATGACATTATAACTTGAAAAGTGAAAATTGCGCTTTCTGACAATAAAATCTGATTTCCAATGATAGAGTACCTCTTTAACAACAACTAATAAGCAGCCATATCTTCACTTCAGGTTCAATAGTAACAGAAGACTCATAAGCAACAGGCAAGGGAAAAAGCCACTGAACAAAAGCTCTAAATACCATTCCACTCTCCGTTCCTCAACGGTTGGCCTTAGCAACTCTCTCGATCTCATCCTTCTTCTTGATGGCATAGCTGAATTCATGTCATAATCAGCAACATAGAAAGAGAAATTCATAATATACAGGCAGAAAAATGATACCTGAATAAATGAATGAGGAGGAAACGGGGGAAGCCACACTACACAAGAATGATATTTTCGAGCAACAGATACAAAATTAGAGAATTCTCACTACAGCTGAAAATCAATGTCATGAATACCTGTTTGATGATCCCTTTGCAGCATTGATAAGTTCATCAGCCAAGCATTCAGCAATTGTTTTAATGTTCCTGAAAGCAGCCTCACGAGCTCCAGTGGTAAGCAGATAAATTGCCTGATTCACACGTCGCAGAGGAGAAATATCCACAGCTTGACGTCTGACAACACCGGCAGATCCAATACGCGTAGCATCTTCTCTTGGTCCACTAGAGTCGTATACAAAAGTATTTGTGAGGAATATTACAAACAAGAATATAAAGCAACAAGAAATTATATTGTTGCATAGATGTAAAAAGAAAAGGAGATTATTTTTTGTTTGCACACCTGTTGATCACAGCATCAACAATGACTTGGATGGGATTTTGATCAGTGAGCAAGTGGATAATTTCCATTGCATGCTTAACAATCCTCACAGCCATAAGCTTTTTCCCATTATTTCGTCCGTGCATCATAAGAGAGTTGGTAAGCCTCTCAACTATTGGACACTGCGCTTTCCTAAAACGCTTCACTGAATACCTCCCAGCAGTGTGAGGCACATAGGTTGCATGCTTGGCAGGAGCCACACCAATGTAATCAGCCAAGGATATGTCGTTCACCTAAAATCACAACATATAAATAAATTTTAATTTAATTTTCAAGAAATCACGGAGCCCTTCACTACATCTATAGAATGAAGGTTTCATTTCAAAAATGAGTTCCAAAACAGAGTTGCAGAAAGAGCCAAAAAAATGATAGATCTCGTAGCAACAAAAGCAACCAACAAGACCAAAGGCGTAAAATTCCCAGGAAGTGGAAGCTGGTAACTAACAGAACATCCCCCCTTCCACGCGCTACCCTACAAGTTGTCCTCCTGTTTAAATTTTAATCTCATCCAATTCAAGCTAAGAACATCGATCAGAGATGACATCGCACATGGCAGTTGCTCTAAAGAATTTCAGTTTTCGTTAATCATGATCTGAAATTTCTATATCCGATTCACGAAATAATTTGCTTGGGTTTACGCTAATTGGTTTTGAGACAACTCACAACTGACAAGCAGAAAATTCACCAATAGATAAATATTCATAACCATTAGCCGCAGTATTGCTTCCTATAAGCTTTAAATAGTTGCCTGAAAAGCGAAAGATGTGCTAACGGCAGTTAGGACATCTCAAGCTCGAAATAGCACAGAAGGCATTAACAACTTCAAAAATGTGATATTTGCAGTAAAATTTTGTATACATAAATATAAAAGAAGCGGTGAGATGTAGTTTCTAACTAAATCTGAAGTCTTTCATGACATATTATCATCAAGGCAACAAAGAAAAGCTCAGTTCCTTCCAAGGCATTCAAGAATAATTAGAAACTACTACGCATTAAACACTGACAACAATTCAAGACTAAAAAAAAATGGGAAAAGAAACAGAAAATGGGAGATTTAAAAGGCACAAAACCGAAACCTGAACATCGTCATAGGGCCATCGATTGAAGAGCTTGACATCGATAACAGGCTCGGAGAGATCGTGACTAGGCAGTGGAGCAACCACATCGGCCATCTTGACGTTACCCTGGAAGTTGGAAGACAGAAGCGCACCGGGCGAGATGGGAAGAAGGAACGGTTTTGCCTTTGAGCAAAGCTACAGGGAAACCCTAATTCCTTTATGTTTTTTGTCAAATTTAGGCTCTGAAGTTCATGGGCTGGGTTTCGTGAAGATAGAGTCCAGATTAGATTTATTGGCTTCGGAACTTGTTTTTATATGTTTATTATGATTGCAAAAATTACATTGATATTATGTGGAGTTATGGGCCGAATAACATAGGTTGTTGTTTAAATTTTTCTAATCATACTTTATTATAATAAAAAGTGTATGTGAAAGCTTTTTAAAGTTGGAAACAAAAACAAAAATAAAGATTCAATATCTTATGATTATGTTTGATATCACACTGAAACCAAAATAAAAAAATAAAAATCAACAAATGAATAAATATTCTTTTAAAAAACATTTTAAAATTATTTTGTGAATCCACATAAAATGTAACTTTCCTTTTTTGTTCTTCTGTTTGGAAGAATAACCATATTAAATTGTTGTCTAAAAATTCAAATTATAATAAATAAATATGGGGTAAAATGGAAAAACAATTAATTACTTTAACTTTGTCCTTTATCAAGGACAAAAAACCTTTCAAAATTTTCTTTACATTAAAAACAGGAGGAAGTATAAGAATGATAATATTGAGAATGAGAAATTTTTTCATAGATTCAGTGTACCCCATTATCTATGATTTGTCTAATAAAAACATGCCATGCTAGCATCAATTGAATCAAATAAAATCTTATATATTATTATTTTTAAAAATTTTATGTTTGGAATTTCTTTTTCCCCTTTTCTCTCTTCATCATTATCAATGACAAAATAGAGAAATTCTTAAGTAAACTCAATGTACTACATTATCTATTATTCATCCACTAAAAACATGACATTTATATGGTATTAAACGAAAATTAATTCTGACATTAATAATAATATAGAGAGAAAAGGAAAAAAAATTAAGTAGACATTCTATTATAAAAAATTATTAAAAATAATAATACATAATATTTTATTTGATTGAATTGGTGTAATTTTATTAGATGAATCATAAATGATATAATGTACTAAATTTATCTAAGAATTACTCTACCAAAATAAAATTATGTTTATAATAATATGACATGTTATATTTTATTTAGTGGATCATAAATGATGTGGTACCTTAAGTTTGTGCAAGAATTTTTCATTTGGGAATATGTGTAGAAGGATTTGTAATCGTGCACAAGATGTCAGAAAAGTAATTAATTCAAAATGCACTCATCAGTCATCTTATCACAATCAATAAAGATCTATGCAGAAGATGTATGACGACGATCGATGTGAGCATCATCATGCATGAGCTGTGATAGAGAAATTCAATGAAAAATTTAGCATTGGGTGTCCAAAAGTGATGAAAGAGGGCATGGATTCTTCCCCCTTCCTTTTCATCCTCTTTCTTCTTTTCTGTTCTAGCCATTAAATTAATATTTAACTGGAGTTCGTGGTTGAACAATAAATACCAAGCGTGCCAGAGATGCTAAGTCTCAATAGATAATGAAAAGGGTCCCGAGTTCCCTTACCATAGTTTGTTCAAATGTAAAAAGATAGAAAGATTTGATAGAATAAGTGTATAATTTTATTAAAGTGAAAAAATATTGCAGACTAAAAACTAAGAACTGAAAAGGAGCTAATGAGTGCAAAATGTGCAAGTCTTGATTGAGTGTTGACTAGCTTTCTCTCTTTTTCTTCTTTCTATTTATAGTGTCGAATAGCAGAAACCTTTCTTTTGGGACTTAGCACATTCTACCGAAGAATCAAGAATCCCGCGAAACTTATGGCATAGTCTCTCCATTTTGATAACTAGCCCGTTTTACCGAATTACTTGGGTGTAGACTTCGACATTATTTAGGATCATGTCTTCGTGCCAATGGTTTGATTTTGAAGCTAATAGGATTTCGACATGTTTACTTATTATGGACTTTATTAAGCTTCAGGGCCGACCTTTTTTGTTTATATTGGGCCTGAAGCTTCGATTACTCAGCCCAACTAACCTCATGACCTATTTGAGCGACGTTTCATATTCAACCCAAGTAATGCCCCCACGTGCCAATGGCTAGTAACATAAGCCACGTGGCACATTTGAAAAAACCAAAACATCACTTCGCTTTTGAGCACCCTCTGTCGATATAAACTCGTTTCTATATTCTAGTCACTTCTCTTACTTTCTTTACCATTTCTTGAACTTTAAGTTTTTCAGTCTGCTAAATTTCTCTTACCCTAACTCTCAAATAGCTTCGTCCGCTTCTATTGTTTCCTCTGTCACCGTACCTTCTTTTACTTTCACTAGTAGTTTACTAGATTCTTTAGTAACTATCCGAAACCTAATAAACTAACTAGGCAGGCTCGTGACGGTATAAATTTAGTGGTCTAAAAAATCCTTTTTTTCCTTTAGATTGACTTCCCACTCCAATAATCATTCATTTCTTTTCAAAAGATTCATCATTCCACGAATCAGTGGCTTTTTGGTAAGTTTCTCGCTTCTCATGTTTAGCCCTTCTATTTTATTGAAAAGTGTTCTAACTGTGCCTCCTTTTTATACAACACTTTACCTTGGAGTTTCCAAATCTCCAACAAGAGCAACATTGGGTATCTGACAATTTATCCCGACCTATCTAAAGTCACTACTCCTATGCAACCGAATCCATGGCCACTGACCTCTATTCACAACTTGGTCTTGGCCCAGACGACCTTACCCTTCACCGAGTTGTCCTACAGAAAGCTCGGGAATTAGCCCCGATCTCTTCGTGCTTGGGTCAACTGGGTAAGGAATTTGAAGTCAGATCATGTGCCTCAATGGAAGGAGATGGTCCTATATAACCTCATCTAATTGTCTTTGGCTGATGTAAACGTCCTCGTGGATCTTCTAACAGCCCTTCTCAGTTTCTAGGCTTCGGGCTACAATGCCTTTATCTTTGAGCTCAACCTAATGTCCCTTATATTATGGGACGTCTTTATGTTCCTGGGGTTGCCCATCATTGGGGATGAGAACTTCTATACAATCCTCGAGAAGCATGACTCCTACACTACCCTCCTTGCTGATTTGGAGAGCAAGATCAGGGTCGCGGGCTCCTATACAAAGATTATGGAGCTATTCTCCAAGAAACTAGCCTCTGAGCTCGTCACTGTCATAGAGCACCTGGTCTTCATATGGATCCTAATAAGCCAATAGATCCTGGCCTCGAGGGAAGGGAAGCCCGTGCAGCTGCATTTGAGGATTGCCCAGTCCTTGCTCTGTGGCAACCAAATAGCCCTGAGGACTATGTTTATATGCCGTCTCTACAATGACATGAGGGAGTTACTGCTCTTGAAGCCCTTCAATAACTTCTATGAGCCCGTCTGGTTTTTAAAGTTATGGACGATGGCCTATTTCCCCAACCTTCGGCGAGAGCTATTCCCAAATGATTCTCACACCAACCACCCTTTCACTTATCTCTTGGGTGGTCATCCGCTGGTCAAGTTGAAGAACTTCTTTGAGTTCTTCTGTCAGCAAAGCTGGTCCTTAGGGAGGACCTTAAAAGCTTTCAACATCCCCAACTATTACCTTCCCACTTGGTACAAGTATATGATGGAGAAGAAGAACAAGCCCGCCAACCCTCTGAGGGATGAGATCTTCCTTTCATCCACCACTCCCCGGAAGATGTGGTTGCCGTACACTAGCTCTTCCTCCAAGTCTCTCAGAGTATACTTGGAGTCTTATCATTCTCAATTGGTAGCAGGCCAGTTTGGATTAAGCTAGTGCATCCCTCAGGGCTTGTCCCCCCAAATCAACGTGGAGCTACTGGAAAGGGAGGCTATTGACCAAATAGTTATTTCATTTACCACCTAGAGGCAGTGTAAAGTAGAACTTATAGATAGAGATGCTTGCCTCCACTTCAACAAATGGTGGCCCTAGTGCTTTAGGTGCATAATAAAGAGCCACACCAGTAAGTATTTTCTCCGTATTTGTCTTAGTTTTATCCTTCTTACTTTGTTCCCTTAGACTAAACCTGCTTTGTTTTTTGTAGGCCGTGATTAGAGCCAGTAATTTGGGCCAAGCCCGATGGGCCAGCCCGAACCCACCCGAAAATTTAAGCCCGAACCCAAAAAAATAATATTTTTTATTGTTCGGGCCTATTCAGGCCACCCGAATAGGCTCTAGAAAATTCGGGCCAAGCCCGATCGGGTTTGGGCTTGGCCCGAATAGGAAAAAAATATTTTTTAAAAAAATATATAATATAATAAATATTAATTATTTTTCAAGTTTTATATCATTTTATTTTAAAATACCATATATTTGAGTGTATTACTATAGTTATTTTAAAAAATAAAAATATTTATATTTTCCCATTTTTATTATTTTTAATCAAATAAAATATCTCATAATAATAATTAAAATATATTTTAATATTAATTTTTATATTTTAAGACTCAATTTTTTTCAAAAAAAAATTGAGTCATATAAACCATTTTCTTGTCCAAAAAATTATATTTTATATTTTTATAAAATAAGATAATTAATTTTAAATTAAAAATAATTTTAAAAAAAATTTAGATATGTACGAATTTTCGGCTCTACTACTAAACAAACATAATAAATAAAATAATATTTTTAGATAATTATTTGATTATTATCCATGCCAGACTTAATTAAAATTAAGAATGAACTAAAATAAATACTTTTTGTATATAGGACTTAAACAATGTAAAATATTTAAAGAAAAAATTTAAAAAAATAGTATTTTGCTCATAATTAAATAATTTTGTTTTATATAATATAATGACGACTATTTTTTTCATATTCTTAAAAATAAAAAATATAGTTTATCCAATAGTTATTAAAAACTTTGAACTAATTAGGACAATAATTTTAAATTAATGGTTTAACCGTTGTTGAATTGAGTTTAACTTGATCATAATTAAAATAATATGATTCAATAAAATATATAAATATTTTTATATAACTATGATAAGGGCAATATTTAAATAAATAAGACATTAATTTACAAGTAAAGGAAATATTCATGAATAAATTGCACATAATACAACAAAACAGTAACAAAGCTAC